CGGGGTCCTGATGGTTTGGGGCCCGCTGACGTAGAGGTCTCCAAAACTTAAGTATTACATATGACACGTTTGATGTCATAGGGCTAAAGAGAATTGTTATGGCCACACGTCTTTGGAAAGCCAATGAAAAGCTCTTCTTCAAACGAGAAAGGGAGGAGACTCACGCTATTTATCTTAGATGTAAGCAAGCTGTTCTTTGAGTTACAGCCTTGAGTAGAGTAGTTTCACGACCATAGGGCACACTTAAAAGTCGTAAATTTCCTCCCAAATGGACGGAGCACCTAATCTGTGCTCAGAGTTCCATAATCTCTAAACTGAGGACGGCATGCTGACATTAAAACGGAAGGTTAGACGTGAAAGAGGACGCTAAAGTCACAGCCACCAGTAGGTGGATAGAATGCCGGTATGTGGATTAGGCAAAACAACTTCGGAACCCCGAAAACAACACTTTGGAAGAGGCACACCTACGAAGCACAATTGGAACTTCAAGAAATCAGTCACGCGGAGGAACATGGCAATCGAGCTGCCGCAAGAGAATTTAAGATAAACAAATCTAAGGTTCGCAAGTGGAGGAAGCAGGAGAACGAGCTTTGCCAAGTCAAGAAGACGAAGTTGAGTTTCCGCAGAAAAAAAGTCGAGGTGGAAGACCAGGGGGAGGGGACATTATGTGCTCCAAGCACAGATATGACTTCTTCATGGTGGCATAGGGAAATATTAAAAACATATTGTGCTACAATTTAAGGTTTATTTACATGTATTTTTTTCTAAAATTGTCACCTGTTGTATTTAAATCAAGACTGAAGCGCGCGAATTTTGAAAATAAACCGCTCAGCTACGTCACATAGGCTGGGCGTGAACCTGCTGCGTCACAGTTTCCGTGTGCATGTGAGTTTAGTGAAAATGTAGGTGATTGAACAGTTAGGGGTGCTGCCAAAAAGAACCCTTTCTGCACTGAAATACAATGAAATTAATTTTGATTCCGTTTGCTGCAATACAAACCGGATACTTAATACTTGACCATAAAGTTAATTTAAAACTTA